TAAACTGATTATTGGTCAGTGAAGGTAAGTACAGCTGTGAGGTGATTTACTGCAAATGGCTTACCAAGCATTATGTAGTTTTGCTCTTTATCTATCTCTTTTGTAGCCCAAACCTATATTGTGTTAATCATTATTAGAAAATTTATTATTTCATTTTATCACTCATTCTACAAGCCAGTTAGCATGTGTTGTGTTCCCTATTAAGACTGTGTTTATTGTATTTTGTTTTTATTTACTTTTGGCTTAATTCCTGTTATCTAAAATATAAGGGAATTTTTAACATTTTTACACATCAGATTGGATATAAACATTTCTTTAGGATTGGAACAAGCTAAAGATATTTAATACCCTGTTCTCTGAATATAAGCTATAAAATATAATTTTCAGCCCCTGTATAAGAAGAGGTTCTATATTATACACAGTGATGTTTCCTAATTTTCTTTCTACTGAATAAAGTGTGACACAATATGATAATGTTCTCACAACTAGAGTAAGCAGTAGAAAACTAGTCATATTTTCAATTTTCTTATCATTGACCCAAAAAGGAAACACCATTCTTATGTATTTAGATAAGGGCTTTTTGTTTAAAAACTGATGTGTCTGTTTACCTTTGTTTTTATTGTGTCTGCTTTTGGACCATCATTTTAAAGTAATGATCATTATCTATTTGGATATGTGTGGCTACAGGCAAAAACTTCCCAGTCCCTACAGCAGTGCACAAATTTATCATGGCAAATTGCAAACTTCCCTTTAAGTGCAATGGCAAGATGTTAAAATCTGGATCAGGCTTGCTTTATATCTTGCCCAATGACAAAACAACTAATTTTTGCCTAAAGGTGAAAAAATCATTGTATCTATTTGATGACACACATATATATATATATATAATATATAATTTTTATACACACACAGATACACAGTGTTAGTATGAGAATTCCATTTGGACCATGCTTCTCAAACTACTACATGTCTCATGTTGAAAACCAGCTATTTAAAAAGGTTACTGAACCTAAAATATATGTCCACTATGTAGATGGTATTTTTATTTTAGCTGAAAACAAAAAAGAAATTGATAACTACATTGAAAAAAAAATTCTGTCCATATACGAACACAAGAAAAATTAGATAAAAAAATTTAACTGCAGTACCTTGTCAGTCCTTTTTAATGAAACCTGTATAAAAGAGAGATACCCAAATTTACAATTTTATACATACATATATATATATAATATGATGAAAATGATGATTGATTTTAAATCATTGTTATAATTTGTGGAGAAAAATGATGCATTTCAATATTACTCAATGATCTTGCCGATGTGATCTCCATCTTCTGGTTTTCTTCTTCTATATTTTGGATAGGGGTCATTCCTTTGTTCAAATTGAAATTTAATTTAAATCAAAGGAAAAATTTTCAGTGGGGGTTTGTGCCCCCCTGGGTATCCCCTTTGATCAAAATGAAATATACTTATCCAAGTACTCTGGGTAATGTAGCTTCAGAATATATATGGTCATCGGAGTCTATCTCCAAACCCTAGAAGGAATTCAATAACAAACAGACAAAGGCTACAATTTTATGTATATAGATATAACATGTATTAATTAATGAAGAAGTTAGGACAAATACGTGTCACTTAAATCTTTATTCTTCTACTGTGTGGGTGTACATTTGGGGATTCTGTGATGTCTTCAAGAAGTCATATGATATAGTTGACGTGTGTGGCAAGAAATAACATCATCCTTTTTTTGCTTTTTGTTTGAGTTGTCTGTGGCAGGATTGGATATATTTCATTATTCCTTGTATCTTAGTGTTTTTTTTTTCTCTAAACATGTCAAGTAATCTTTTGTGATGTGGGGAGGTGTTGATGAGGTTGTTTGTTTTTCTATGTGGTGTTTACTATAATATTTTTGGCAATCAATGCCATTGTCTGGTTTGTTTGGAGAAGATGTATGTTTCTTACTATTTCATTACCTTCTTCTGTTTTAGAACGAGATAGAATGTATATATATTTTAGAATGGAGATAGGAACATGGTTGTATCAGTATCTTTATTATTTTATCTATTCTAAGACAATGGTTCATGAACTCAGTTCTAAATTTGTCATTTGGTTCAGGCAGTTTATGTACATAACAGGATTTTCCTGTTGTCAGTTGCGTAACAATTTTTGTTATGTTTGGAAGATTTGTTTGTAGAGTTCTGTTCATTAATTGTTTATCAGGAGAGGGAAATCCATTTTTTATGATGGAGTGCATATTAAAAGTGATAAATGTTGATCTTTGTTACTTTTCATTCATTTTTTTAAGAGTCTTCTTTATTGTCTAAATTTTCCTTTCTACCATATGATTAGCTGGAAGATAAGTTGGGTGAGTTATTTTTATATGCTTCAAGTCACATACTTTTCTAATGTTTTGAAATCTTTTGATTTGAACTCTGGTCTATTGTCATTGACAACAGTTTGGGGTTTGCCAAATATAGCAAAAATATTTTGATAACTGTTAGTAATTCACAATCCTGTATTTGATGTATGTAAAAATATCTTGTGTATAGTCTATAATTGTGAGACAATATCTTCCTTATAAGTGGAATATGTCAGTTCCAAACTTTGACCATGGAGTAATTGGTATTTCATGATTCATTAGGGTTTCATGTATCAGACAATTGTTGACCATTTCCTTAATTTGGTCTTTTATGCCAGGCCAATGTACACATTCTCTTATTCTAGCTTTACACTTCTCTATTTCTAGATGTGAATTCTTTGTATAGCTTCTTTACAAAATGATTTTGAGATGATAATTCTTGTACCTTTAAGAACCAATCCTTTGACATTTCATCACAAATAGATGTGAAAAGGTGATCATTAGAAGGAATCCACTCTTTAGGAGACCATTCTCTCTTTGTAGACTCAATGGATTTTTGTAGTGTTCCGTCACTTGCTGTAGCTTATCTATATGTTTAGTTTGTCATCAGACATTGGGTAATTATTTACATTTGAATAGATCTGTATTATGTATATTTATTTTGAAGATTCTTTGAATTAAATTAATTTTTCACATGTTTTGCATTAAGAACAGGTTGGAAATCTATGTCTGCAATGATAAATTGTATTGAAGTTTCAATTTTTTTGGTTTTTCACTGTTGCTGTGAATTTATTGAATATTTGAATTTTTGTATTATACACACTTAGCCTCACTTATACTTAATTTAATTTAGATTTAGGACAAAGATTTCTGGATAATTTTCTGGGCTGTACAAAAACTTCTGCAATGAAGTTGATTTTGAATTTTATCATTGTGTTGTTCACATTTAATTTTGCAGTCCAGCAGTCTGGATCTATCTTTTCAACTGTCTGAACCCAATGTGATCTTTGTTTATTGAGATTATATTCATAGAGTATTCCTTGTGGTAATAAACATCTGATGAGGCTTGTATTTTATGTACAGATTTCTGGGATCTATACATTTGTGCAAAGTGAGTTTTTTTAAAATTACATTTGCTGCATATTTTGTGAAATGCAAGAGAGCTATTTCTATTGTGATTTCTGTTACAGTATTTGCATAGTTCTATGAAGTTTTGAGTTTTAGCAGGCTTTTTACTACCTCTCTCAAGATGGATTCCTTTAAACTTGTTGGCACCAAATTTGGTCTGGCAGCCATTATGTATAGTTGTGACTTCATCATTCTGACTAGCTAGTATTTTTGCTTGTCTCTGTATTTCTTTTGTACTTTTTCAAGCTTGAATTGCACTTTCTAGGTTTAGATCTGGTTTTCAAAAAATATTCTCTCAACTTTGAGTCCCTAATTGCATATATTAAGATATCTTTTATAAGACTATTAGAGATGCTTACAAATTCACACTGTTGTGCTTTATGTTGTAATTCAATTGCATAATCATGGAATTTTTGTGTTTCTGCCTGTTTGCATGAGAAGAATTTGTGTCAAGCAAATTGGATCCTTTCTTGGCTAACAGTGTGTGTTGAATTAGTCTGGTATTGCTCATAGCTCAGTTTTATCTTCATGTGAATCAGATCTAAAAGTAGAAAAGATATCTCTATACTTAGGTCTAATGTATGTTAGTAAAAGGGAAGTCCTCACTTTTTCTTGGTTGAAGTTTAGCAGATTCAGTTCTGGTAAAAATCCATTCTGTCATCATTTTTTTAAATTAATTATTACTGTTTTCTTTATTCAGAGATGTGTAAATGGAGATCAGATTATATATATATATATATATATATATATATATATATATATATATATATATATTAAGTAGTATTAGTTAATGAAGAAGTTAGGAAAAACGTGTGTCATTTTAGCAAATCTCCATTTTTCTGGTGCATGAGTGTACATTCAGGGATGCTGTGATGTCATCCAAAAGTAGTGTGATATGGAGTGATGTGTGTGGGTGGCAGTATTTAACACATGAGAGTAAAGGCGAAAATTGACGAGTCCCTATCACAAAAGGTGTCAGAGCTACCTTTTGAAGGCAATGGGGAGGTGCTGCGCCGTGGTTAGAATCACCAGAACAAAGCTTGCTTCGTTTATACCGCTTTTTACTGTGTCTCACACCAAAATGAAAAACAAATTCATTTCAACCAAAAGGCTCAGGGATTATGATGGCCATTAGCCAATCAAGAGGGTTTTTTTACTTTTTTAAATCCCAAAGTGATACTGACTTTAACTCTTGATAAAACTATTGAATCAACTCAATGGCTGTTTCAGTGTTTTTTCCACACTACATTTTCTCTCCAAAGTGAGAAGTATTTTTATATTTATCTTTTCTTTTAGCCTCGTGTGAGCGTATAAGTTTTGTCGTCTCCTAGCAACTGAGACAGCCACCTCTGTTCGATTACTTTATTAAAGTGTTATTGTTAGTGTTGTTGGCATAACGACAGCAGGTGGAAACGAGTTAAATATTCATGGTGCCGTGACTGACTCTGTCGAGAAAGGCAGGTGCAAAAACTATTATTCACCTCTATTAATGAATCGGAAAAGATCGTCACATAATGTCTAATGTCCAGGTAAGGTAAATAAAATAAGCAAAGAAAAAAGAATACAGTTATTGGATTTCTATGCAGTATATTCATTGATTATTGATTAACTTTAAAAGTAGTACACACCTGTCATTTAAAAAGATCATCTTCTCTTGCTTTTTTCTTTCTTTACGTACAGACGGAAAAAGGAAGAATCAAACAAAAGTTAAATTTGAAATTGTAGTTTCGAGTTCAGTTCTTTATAACATTATTGTTCTTTTACTGATTTTACAAGTTTTTTAAATGTTCCTCTAACATAACAACATACTTTCTTTTTACTAAAGAAAATAATAACGAAAACTTCGCTACACAGCCAATGGATTTCATTTAAATTCCCTGCGTATTTAAATTTATTTGGTTATTAAGTCAGTGAATATTTTATTTATTTATATTTTATAAAAAATAAATTAATTCATTAAATTTAATAATCTCTAGGAATAAAACAGCACCCACCAAAATGATGATGATGTTGAATTATTAAATCTTTAAGTTTAACAAAAAGTTTAAAGTTTGAATTTTGCGTGCGCACGTGCGTACTTGTGTTTGTACAGCCTTAGAAATTAACCACGAAGAATAAAAGAAATCCATTCATTTGTTTTTAGGGGATAAAAAAAAGGTTACAACTCGGTAAAAAAAAAAAAAAAAAAAAACTCTAATAAAAAATAAAATAATCGGACTTGTTGATTAGATTGTTTTTTTTTTAAATTTTACAAGTACAACATACACCTGAAGAATGTCTCTCAGCCTAAGTACTGTAATTATATCGGGTGATGAAGAGATATAGTTACGAAATTTTCAGAATCAGACAAATATAAGCATGTTGTTCACTCAAGAGAAAAAAAATGATTCACTTTTTTGTCAACCTTACTAACTAAATTTTACATTTTATTGCGCAATAATGTAATGAACTGACTATGGATTTCTTTGTTTAAAGTTTTTAAAAGAACATCGTTAGTAAACCGTGACAAAAGAAGCAATGTAATAAAAAGTTTAAAAAGAAATTTGATGTCTTTTTTTTTTTTATCCTTGACAATACTTGTGGTTATGGAAGTTGTTTTTATTGCCAGGTTTCTTGGAGCATTTTTCAGAAAAGAAATTCTATCCTAACAATAAACATGAAAGAAAACTGGTTTCGTTTAAGATTTATGATGGCTCCCAATAATTGGAAATTTTTTCGAGGAAGAATTTATTATATTTATTTTTTGGATAGTAATCGACAAAAACTGTTGAATCGTTCAAAGTTTTTCCTTGTTTTTCTTGCGGGTTGGACAGTAAGATTGAAGATATTTTGAGCCGAATTATGCAAAAGTTCTGCTGGACAACCTAAACAGCGACCAATTGGTAGGGTCTAAAAGCTTTCAAACTTGTTAAAAAACGTAAGTAGACCTACTCCTGGTGTCGCCTTAGTGTGACTGTTGTTAACAAAGCTATCTGACGGACCCAACCTTTACAGCTGTAGTAAATTCAATCCTTCTCACTACACTACCATGACTTTGTGTCAGACTATAGAAATTTTTTGTTTTTGGTAAAATAAAAAGCTTGTGAGTTTTTATTTGTCTATATTTATGAGATGAGATTGTAATTATTTACAATACATTGTGCATCTTTATTGCCATATTCACGAGATTTCGGACTTTGTACGCTCCGACCTTCTTCAGGTGATTGGAATTTCGAATTGAACCCTTTATGATTTCGTTCACCAGAGTAGACTGTTCTAGTTTCACGTGCTATGACTTCAAAACTCAGGAAACAGCTTCAGTCTGCCTACCCTATGTAAAGAGATTATCAGAGAAAATACGAAAGATCAGTGGTCCATAATATCAGGACGACCTTAAAAAGTGGTTCGACAGTTTGCAGACACTTCTTCCGAGTAAGACCCCCTCCCATAGAGGATAACATGACTAATGATCGTGTGCACGTCATTCCGTGCAGCTGTGATAAGAAATATAAAAAAGAAACAGCCCTCCCCCTTAAGGTAAGACTGCAAGAACGTCATAAAGCAGTAACACAAGGGGAAATAGAAAAATCAGGCATAGCTGACCACATTTGGAGGGAAAAGGATAATCACCACCCCCTGTATGATGAGGTTGAAATAATAGACAGAGAACATCACTGGAAAATACGAAAACTTAAAGAATTAGCACATATGCTAGGCCACAATAATCTCCTAAACCAGCCAAGCAAGGAAATGAATACAATATGGGAACCAGTAATAATACGCAGTGCCAGAGAAAAGCAATAACAGCAAAACTGCAATATGAGCGCTGGTAAAATGGTTTCTGAAACATTAAATTTATAAGTCCAAAAAATTCATACACTGATGGCCCACTGTTGGTTGGATCTAGTGACTTGACTAAAAGAGTTGTGAGTTCAATACCAGGCTATTGCAATGGTAAGTTAAAGGGAAATAACTGAGACATTCAGATGAAGTGTGGAACAATCTGTAATGGTGAATGAAATAAAGGATTCAGTTTGTAATTCCAATCACCTGAAGAAGGCTGGAGTGTACAATGGCCAAAATGTCATGAATATGTAAATATTGTGTTCTTTTTTTTAACATCTCATAGGATTAAGAATTTTGACATTTTTTTTTAAAAAAAAGTTATTGTTGATATTGATGTACCCTATTCAAAAAGTTTAGTTTCAAAATAATAATAAATTATTTAACTGTCTTGTTTGCTATTAGAAACAATAATGTTGCTACTAACTTGTATTTAAACCATTGCAAATGTCAAATTTGTCTCAAGTTCCTCTCTCTTTTAATTGCAAATGGAGAGTGGTCATTTTCAATTCTTTGAAACTATGTAAGAACTTTTGTACCTTTTATCATATGAAAAAAATTATTACCAAGTGGCCTTTCAAAAATTTCTGATGATTGGTCATTTAGTAAGATTTTGGGATGTGCATCTGGCCCAGAACTTCTCAGCATTTTCAACATATTTTCCCAAACCCCAATGTAAAAAATTACTTCACATGTGGTATGATTGCCACATAGCACATAGATCTAAAATATCCATATGGGAACCTATCATGTTTCAAATAAAATGTGTTTATATAAAAGCCCCACATAAGTTCTAGTAATCCCAAATCCCTAGTGTGGTGATGCCTCTTCCTTTCTTCTTTATTGATATATAACAAGAAACAAACAGCATTGGGTAGAAAAGGGTGACAAAACCTCTCAACCACTTCCTGCATGTTCACTGAAGGTTTCAGGTGGAACTTTCTAAAGAAACACTGGTTAAAGTAAAAATTGAGTTTCTCTGGTTAAAGTAAAAATTGAGTTCTAACTATATGGAATCTTTTTCTTCCCTGAATATGATTGATTGACTTCTGGCACAACACATGTCTAAAAGGAAATGGTCTTGGATCAATCTAAAGTAAAAGAACCAGACACATGAATTAAACAATCTTTTTATTTTCACCTTGTTTTCTCCACAATCAATTTTTAACCTAAAACTTAAAATGCTTCCTTAAACAAACATTTGAAATTTTTTTCATTATTCACAACTCTGGAATAAAATATCCAATACTGAATTGACAAAATTTTTTTGTAATTCTTTTTCCAAAATGCTATTTACCACATGGACACATACTCATGCAAATACAAAAACAATCTCCTCAAATTGGTAACCTGACACTGGAAAATATAAATCTCTGATAATTAAATTAAAACTGTCCTTGATACAACCAACTCTTTCACCAAACACTAAAATAATGTCCATCTGCAATATAAAAATTTGTAAAGGTATTCTTCTGATTCTTTGCTTATCACTAAAAAAAACTTTCTCATTTAGGATTTATGAATTTTTTTAATGAAACATCACAAGAGTATTTTGTAAGAAAACTTTGTGCAAATAAATCAATCAAATTCCCTTTATTTAATTTTAGGAAATCCCAACAAAATAAACATCTTGATAAAGTTAAAATATAGGTAAAATAAACAAGATATTTAAATCACTGCAATAAGTAATAATTAAAGATAAGTAATAATTAAAAATAAACATGGCAGTATCTTTTAAAAGCTGCTAGAGAACTGGAAGATATTAAATTCCAACATCCAATCACTGAACATTCAAAGTTTTAACATTTGACCACATATAAATATATATTAAATTTTGACATTCAACCACAAAAATGTTTTATTTCAATATTAAAAAACTTTCAGGCGTTATCTGAGCAATGGATGAAATGGAATTCCAGTGTCTAGGCTTTGGAAAATTCTGTTGCTGATGCAAATTTATATTGCTTTAAATATTCATTTCAAAGATTTATAGACAAGAGAAAGGGAGTTTTATTTCATGCTGAAATACATTATATCATAAAAGTATATAAAATGAAACTTTTTTTCAAATTTTACCAATTTAATTTAGTAATGGAAATCTGATAAGAAATAGATTTGGGGTACATTTTAAAAATTAATTTTTTGTCTGAGTATTTTCTCAGGCAAATTTACACTCCACTGTTTTTGCAATACTGCATCATTTAAAACCCAATATCTCTGGTTCTATTAATTGAACACAAATACTTTGGCAATGTTTCATTTTTGTGCCTGCAAAAAAACAGTGTATCAAAAGGATGGTTATTCCCTTGACACCACTATTAGTGTATACACTTTTGACTCACTTGGCAATATTTATTTATAAGATTATAAAAATATACAAACTAAATATAATGCAATATTTATTATTTACATTTTATAAAGATTTATTTACCATTTTATAAAAAAATAAATTTTGAAAGAAATCTTTTTATTAAAAAATTATCAAAGTATGTAAACCTACTACTATGCAATATTTATTATTTAGTATTTTGTAAATAACTATGAAAGGAATTATTTATTCAATCTAATAAATAATGTTAAATATCTTTGTTGTCAGTTCTCTAGAATAAAGAAAATATATGATGTGGCTTTCCTCTGTCTTTTCTACAAATATTTTCATGGTACCTGTTCTGATGAGCTTTTTTTCCCTGGTACCCCAGCTACATGAATTTAAGCAATCTACAAACTGGTGATCAACATTATCTCATCCAATACAAATTGTAGCACCTACCAAAGCATTAGTGTTTAGTGGGGGGGTCACCAATATAGAAGATTAGGTCTCACCATTTTATTGTTGAACTAGATATAACTGCCATTTCTACTCTAACAATTTATTTTCTTGCATTTCCTTCTGATTTCTTACTTCCCCGCCATCTACAATCTTCAAAAATTTAAGTGCAACATCAATCACCATCTTCTGTTTTCTTGAATCCTGTTCCTTTTTTGTCCTTTACTCAATCATCCCCATTCTCAGTCTTCACATTCTCTTTCACTTTCACTCCCTGCGACTCCTTGCATTCTAGTGGTGTTATCACCTTGCTTGAGGTGAAATGATTAAAAAAAAGAAGATAAATTATAAACATGTTGACTGTTTATTACAATAATAATAATGAAACAAAAATTTTCCTGTCATTCAGTGAATTATTTTTTGTGTGTCTCCAACCATATCCAGTATTTAAGCCAAAGACTGTGCTTATTTTATTCTGAGGTTAAGCGAATATATACTTTTCTATGCCTTAAAACATAGGCTTTAAGGCCTTTTCTTCATATTAACTATGCTTTTTCTGAACATTTGCTTTTCTATGAACATTCTAAGTATTTCAAAACAATCATTCTGTAAACATTTTCTAAAATCCATTTGGTTGAGAAGACCATTTTTTGTACCTGGCTGATATATACCTTCCTCCAGCACATTAGCATTTTTCTTAATTATTATTATTATTATTATTATTAGAATATTCCTATTATTGAATACTAATTCTCTGTTTTTTGTACATTCTTTAAACATCACTTCTCCCTGTCTTTCTATTAGAAAACAAAAAGGAAAATATTTGAGAGAGAACATTACTCCTTTACCCTAATATCTCTACATTAATGACTCTAAAACTTCTATATTGGTAACCCCCACTAAATACTAATACTTTTGTAGTAAATAGATGCTACAATTTGTAGTGGATAAAACACTGTTGGTCACCAGTTTGTAGCAGGAAGAGTTACTACTTGTTATACTTGAGGTGGAAAACTTTCAAATGAATTCAACATTTTCAAAAGAAATGAATTCAAAAATTGGCAAAATTTTATACATATTTTTATATAAAGAATAAAATAATTCAAAAAGAGAAAAAATATACTTGTATGTACACAGATAGTTGAAAAAGGAAGGAAAAGTATTTATAATGACCTCAGCCATGACAGTATCAAAGAAATTCTGTTTTGGGCTTATTCTTCAAAGACTTCTATTTGTACAAGACATTCATATCAGCCAGGAAAGGAAAGTCAGGCATCATTTATTTATTCCTTCTTATGATATCTGATATCTTAAAAATATTTAATTTCACATTTCAAAAAATTGGAACAGAGAAAAAAATAATAGTGAAGCAGAATCTGGGACAAATTTGTATTTGTATTTAAATTTTTAGAAAAGTTGTTGTAATAAAAACTAACAGAATGTTGATGATCTTGCTCTCTGAATAAAGTGCACTTTAGAAAAATAATTTTTGGCTTCCTTACAGAAACCCACAATGAAATATTGAAATTGATTAATGAGTTTGAGGTTTTGACTTTTAAATATGAGAAATCAGAGCAATGTTAATTAATGTTTAAATTTTGATTACAAAATGTGTCTAAAATTTAATGTCTTGATCTTTTTACTTAATTTTACTTTTTTACTTGTAATTAAAATATCAAGATTTAAAGAATGAGTTACTGCTTAACCACTGTAACAGTTTAAGCCAGTTATTTGGTTCAAAGCATATCTGATAGGTGTCAGTTTACATAAATATATGCTGTATTATTTCACATACAAAAAAAATTGCATGAGTGTATTCAAGAATAAAAATGAAGACTGATTTTACAAGACTGCATTTGGCTCAGTATACAGTCACAATTAATGCATTCAATACTTTTAAATTGTCTGCAAGAATACTGTAGAAGACACCTATAGAAAAAAAAGTATGGTAACATGAATTGTTAAAATACAAAACTTAAGTTTTTGCTTTTTGGTTTCAGTTTTTCTCACATCATGATTTGTTTTATTTTTTTCTGTAAGTGAAGAACTTCAAAAACTGATTTATTCTAAATATTTACATATATACATGCAAAAACACATATTAGTTTCTATGTAACTAATGTAAATCTTTTGTCTATAGTTCAGAAATCAGAGGCAAAAGAAAAAATCAGAAGTGACTCATTTTCTTCCCACATTGCCAGTAAAGAGATGTAAACCAATATGGAGCCAAAACACTCCATTGTTCAATGTGTCTGGTAGAATAGATGATGATACAGAAGAGAAGATTGATCTTATTAAAGAATTATCACCTCGTAAGTATAGTTAACAATTTTCATTGACTGAATGCAATTGATTCATTTGAATCTATAATTTTTTTTATGTTATTTCATTCTTTCTTAATTTGTTTGTTTGTAACTGAAGATCATTTGAAACCAATCTAGCAGAAATTATGATTATGTGGCTGAAGTCAAGAAGTGATTTTATCAAAATACATCTTTATTAAGTAAAGTGACAGAAACTGCAATTATGAAAAACTGAGATTATTAATCAATTTTACATATGTTAAGTACAATGAGATGATATTTGCTTTTGGTTCCAATCTGAATCCATGATATAAATCGACTTGAGTCATTTTGAAGGATTTCATTTATATTCAAATCATATCAAGTTTTCATTATAGCAGATATTTATATTTACTTATCACTTTCTCTTGCACTCACACTCATCACTGCACTTTATTCTTTTTCTTACTGTGTCATGTGATTAATATGTATTACAAATTGGAACATCTCATACATCTTTCTATTGATTGGCAATTATTTTATATCAATAAAATTCTATTCAGATTTGTAATAATTTTAGCTAATTCTGCTTTTATATAAAACATTTTAACTTTTTTTGCAGGATTATATAAAGGAGAAGTTGGAAAACTTTAATAAATTTAACATGTGCTGTTATTTATTTAGCTTCAGCAGAAATTTTTTTGGAAGTGGAATAATGCAGAATTATGTTTCAATTTTTAAATTCTATTTTGTTTTCATTGGTTGTGTTGATGCCATGAGTATATTTTATGACATTATTGTTTATGTATATATAAATTTTTGAATTCTGTCTTTTGTTTTCATTGGTTGTGTGGATGTCTCCTCTTGAGGTCTGGGTGTATTTTAGTTATTGAAATGTTAGTGAAATTTAAGTGTGTCTTTAAAATTGTGTATATTAGTGTATTTTAATTGTATGAAGGATATGACAGATGTTGAAAATGGATGTTTGATACTAAGTTACATCATCAGCAAATGTTTGGATCTTACATTCTTTAAGTATAGGTTTTACAAACATTGGTGATGTGAAAATTGTGTCTGTTGAATATACATTGTATGTTGATTCTGTGTAGGCATTTTATTCATAATAGTTTTTGTTCTTCTTTTCATAAGTAGCATTTCTGAACTCAAAATTATGGCCTGTTTTATTTCTATGTGATAAATGCTAAGGAATTTGATTGGTTATCCTAATGGAGGTCTCTTCTGTGTTCATAGATTCTAGATATCTCACCCACATATTTCATATGGCTTGCAAACAGTCTATGTCATATATCAGCTTCCAACACATTCTTGATTGCAAATTTTTGATTGTTTATTTTTTATTTCTTTAATTGTCTTGGAGTAAGTGGTTGTAATATTTGTGTTTGGGATAAACACAAAATTTGTAATTTATGGGAAATGTTTTTTGAGTTCAACAAATGTTTAATGTCATTAAACACAGTCAATGAAAACAACATAGGATTTAAAAATTGAAATGTAACTCCACATTCTTTTGTTTTCAAAAATTTCTGATGAATTTAAATAGAGAAACATGTCAAATTTATACATATTTTCCCACTTGTCCCTTATTTAATCATTCTGTCAGATTTTAATCCATATTTTCAACATTTTTGTATATAACATTTTTGGGTTCATATATTTTTAACACTTGCTCTATATGTTGATCTTATAGCAATAATGAAATTTGATCTTTTTATCCTTCTTCAGTTATCTTATATGTTTATTTTGTTATTTTAACCTTAACAATAATAGTTTGTATGTGAAATAACTTCTTTTTTTTAAGTCTCAGTCGTTCTTTTTGGTAAATTTTCATTACACACTCATATCTCCTTTTGCTATTTGTATTGTGTGTGTGTGTATGCCGATAAGTATCTTTATTAACATCACTAAAAACAGAACTTAACAAAATGGTTTCATATTTGGATTTTGATTCCTTTATTGAGGAAGAGTATGAATGCAAGTTGCCTGCTTCATTTTATTTTGTTTGGATTTATTTTATTGTTCTTATTTTCATTCTTTCATTCTCACAATATGAGAATGGTGGAAGTATGTCCCCATTTAAAAAGTTTAACATTCCAAAAACACAACCTGATGAAAATCAAAGCTTATAGTGGCTAAAATCTTCAGATAATGAAAGAGTAAAAAGGGAGAAATGCATCCAAATGAAACAAAATACAATTGTTGCACACTTTGCCTAAAAAATTCAGTCAAGAATTTCATGTCTCATGCCATAAAGTATGACTTCTTGACAGTCGTTTGTCATTGTATGATTGCAAGTGAATCATGGATGCAAATCACCCTCTTCAAACATTCGTCGTATTAGGCTAACTGTTGCTCAGAGGTAGGTTCATGGAGCTTCTGGTAAGAAATAAACTTAATTCTTCATGAGACTAACATTGGTTCAAACTCATCATATAACACTGGGCAACAGAGATTTTGCTGCTGGAGTAAAAGTACATGTTTTAGACTAAATCAAGGATGCAGATTACCAATAGAATATTGAATTTACAATTAGAAATATTGTACACTTGGGTGAGTTATTTATTACACTTTACTATTAATTTTGTAAATTTTTTAATTGAAATGAAGAAGAAAAATTATTTCAAATTTTAATTGAAACTTTTAAGCAGTTTATCTTGTTTGCAGAAGAACCTAAAAGATGGAAGTACCCTCCATCAAAAAAGGGTGAAGATATGTCTTCAGCCTTAGGACAATTAGGGATGCTTCACAAACCAAAAAAAGACCGCGAAAATTTCCGAAAGTCATTGGTTGATATTATTCTGTAAGTATAAGTGATGTCACAGATGTCAATAATAAATTCATGCAAGCATTTTTCTCTATAGTACAAATAGATCTTTTATAACACATTATAAAATAAAATTTAGGATGCTATAAACATTATTCTTATTTTAAAAAATATCACTTAACAACATACTTTCCTTTGCCAGACCTTTCACTTTGCAAGAGATAAAAATTAGCTAAGCTCAGATAATGTACATATATATTTTCATTTTGAATTTCACACTATAGCATATCTGAACTTTGTTTTCAAACATTCTAACAGAAAAAATTGTCTGCTGTTAAAATAACAGCAATAACAATAGACAGATTAAAAAAAAAAGAAACATAAAAATTGTAAATATATCATGATCTTGCCCTGGAAATGAAAAAAAAAACATGATGATTAAGGCCCATAATAATTAGAACTGATCCTCAAAAGGCTAGAATCAAGATTGAATGAATTACAAATTTAAATTACAAATTTATTTATTTACAAACCTAATTGTTTCATTCTTTACTTAGATTTGAAAAACATATAATTGCTTTTTTTAATGTTTGGTTGTATTGTAACTGTGATCAGAAATATTAATTTTTTATAATGTTCTTCGTCCCAATATCATCACAAATCTTAAGAAGTTTTTTCCCTATTTTAGATTGCCTGTTTTACTCAATGTTATTTTTGTAATTGATGACCAAAATGAAAAATATTTCATGATTCTAAAAGAAGCACATATTTTTGTATTCACCAGTATTTGGATCTAAGATCTTCTAAAAAATTATGTAGAAAAATAAGTTTATATCAAATTCAGTTGAAAGCAAAAAAAAAGTAGAAATCTTTACATAGACAATTTAGCAACATTAGATGAATTGAAGCAATACCTAGAATTGGCATTCATTGAAATTACTTTTTCTACAAGATAGCAACAGTGTCATTTCATGGATTTCATTTACTTATTCACTTCACAAAAATGCTATAGCATTTAGTGTTAACTGAAAGTCTTATTTCCAACAACAAACACTGGAGAAAGAAAAGAACAACTCATCCTTTTCTGTTTTTTAAAGAATTTGTTACCTATTATTTTCTATTAAAGGCAAGAAGACAAATCAAAGAAGCCAAACACATCAATCCATGAAGGAGGACTGCCTCCCATACATGCAACTTCAGTACCAACCAGTGTGGAGAAAGATATCTTGGTTTGTTCTTTAACAAAGTTTTTCACTGGTTTGTAAAAAGAATTAAACAAACCCTGTCAAACTTATATATTAGTTAATACAGAACTAAACAGGAAAGCATTATGAAGCTTTTGGATTAATTATTTTATATTAATGTTTCTATAAACCATAGTCATACCCATATTTAAACCTCAATCAAGCAAGTTTTGAGCAATCTTTTACTTACAATAAAAACATATTTAATCAATTATCTAAAACAAAATATCAAAGCATGCTTATGAAAAGCAAATATATATATATATATATATATATATATATATATATATATATATGTATATATATATATATATATATATATATATATATATATATATATATATATGTATGTATATATATATATATATATATATATATTTTTTTATTTTTTTATTGTTCAAAAATATATATATATATATATATATATATATATATATATATATATATATATATATACAACAAATATAAAATGACTATTCTTATTGACTATTATGGACATAAAAATCTAAATAAGGCCTGTAAGTTAGCCAGAAATCTTTCTTGGATTTTCAGTATATTCAGAAATGTACTCTCAAAAATTGTTCAAATTTTAAAAAGTCTTTATGTAAACAAATTTATGAAAAACATTTTTTGCTTTTTAGTAATATAATAATAAATATTTTTTCAGCGATATTACTATTATATTCATAATGGAATTGATACAGAACATGTTGCACCAATGGAAAATTTGTGGCTACAAAATGTTTTTAAATTGGTGCCAAAGAAAACTCGGGTAAATATGATTTAATTATATCTTTATATTTGCAAAGTCTGTTTAGAAAGTATTCAGCCATTTTGTATTTCTCAAGAACCAGTTTTGCAGCCATGATGCAACTTGGCAACCAATCAGAGGGGACCTTACTGCTTGTGCATGAACAGATACTCTACCATGGAGTTACTCACTCAACAGTGATATGCTAATGAGTAAGTTTGTGCATTGTGTGACTATGCCATGATAATGTTTCTGCCCATTCTTCAGGACTCATGCAGGGTTTTTTGGCAAAACATCATATTAATTAGGCATGTCATTTCAAAATTGGCTCCCTGCAATAGTTTAGTATCCCTGTTAAAAGGATACATTCTTACTAAGGATAAGATTAAGGAGAATGTAATCAGGCAGTTGATACTGAAATATTTTGCAGATTATTTTTAAAAGTGTAAGGGATGCTAGTATAAGTGTGTAAGAACCCAATTAGGTGCACTATTTTTTCATTAATATAAAATGACTGGAGTCTTTCCAAACAGATCTCATATTTTTTAGCTAATTCTTAAATTAATTCATCATATGGGGCACAACTGATCAGCTTTAAGAAACATATATTTAATTAGTGGATATGATTTAGTAAAATTTTGTTTTTATTGCTAATTTTCAAGAACTATGCTGAGCCAAAGTTGGAGCTAGTATTTGTTATTTTACCTACAAGGCCACTGAAATTATGTACTTGCAAAAAGAACTTTTAGTTTTTGCTACTTAAATGCTAATATACACTGTTGATTAAAGATAATACAAGTAAAATATAGAAACATTTACAATTTAGGAGGTTCCAAGAAGGTTGATTAACTGAAGTTTCAAAGCGAATGTCTATATGTCTCAAAATTCTTTATCTTAGTTGAATGATAATACAGACTGAGGGCTAGAAAAAGTGTTTAAGTCTGTAGTCATGTAAGATAGCACTAAGAGATAAAATAAAAAATAAAGGGACTTGACTTATTTTTTGAAATACTAATAAATAATTAATAATAGTAACTGATCTCAAAATTTCAGTCAAAAATGGATTATCTAATAATAATTAGCATTAATCACACACACACACACACACACACTCACACAAATTCACCTCTGTACCCCAACCCCCCAGAAAGCTAACATCTAATGCTACAACTTTCACTGAAGAAGTTGGCCATGCTCTTTTAACCACTTTCATGCTCTCTCTCTCTCTCTGCCTAAAGCCGCCAAATGTAATGAAAATAAGAAAAATAAGCAACACGACAAGACTTGTACAAGAGTAGTATGCTTTTATAAAAACTGTCCACCACTCTGACATCATGTAATCAACTTATTTTACATAAGCAATGTCCCATAAAAACAAATTCTCACAAAACATCTTTTCCCTTTTGAAAGAAGCCTTTTTATTATTATTATTATTACTAGTCCTTTAATATTGTTATTAGTCCTTTAGTTTTGCTGGTGTTCTCTCAGAATGTGTTTTCCTCACTGAGTTCTATTGATGAGCTGTCTTTGGGGTCCTCCTATTGACTGGGTTTCTATCTGGTGAGGGTGTAGAACATCACTCTGAAGTGTTTTTCAGAAGGAGTGACTAAGGGACCACTTTGAACTGAATCCCTGAGGATGGATTTGAGGTTGCCTCTACTGATTTCTTCAAATCATTTCTGTTTTGTCGGCACATCTCCCCATCAACATTGGATGTGGTATGACCTTGCATCCAGCTGCTTACCACTATTACTTTTTCCCATTCCTTCTTACATGGAAGTAAAACAACAATCTAACTTTCTGATTAGAGCAGAGTTATTGTTCCTATCTTCACTGTTTGATATTTCTGGATCTTTCCTATTTTAGCAGGTCATTCACAATTAGTAGAAGAGTTTTGTTCTCTTTGACAAGCTCTTCTGTACTAGTAACAGAAAACCCTTTTTGTGGGTGTGTTACAGTGATTCAGTATTGCCAAGTATGGATCAGCCTGAGTGATTTTGGCTTTCTAGAAAAGATTCTTCACCATCTTTACCGTTGATTCCACTTTTCCATTAGCTTTGTTGTTGTATGGCCATGTGTATAAAACACCACTTACTCACATAAACAGCAAGCTATTGATTCCAAAATTGAGCCCCATTGTCTGCAACAACTTGGTATGGGATACCATATCTTGTAAAATGGAGCTTCAATTTGTTGATTACAATCTTGGTGTCAGTTTGGCAAAGGTGATCAGCCACCCAGAAATTGCTCAGGTAGTCAATCACTACCATAAAAATAGGAACAGATCCACTCTAACTTATGCCCAGGATCACTCCAGAATTTCAGGAACCATCAGAGGTTCTGTAGGATTTGCTACTTCAATATTTCTGACATGTCTAGCGTTTTGAAATGTACTCTCTCATATTGCTATTCAGGTTTGGCTAATATAAATACATTCCTGTGTTCTTTGACAACATCCTTTCACTTCTAAATTTGAGGAATACAGTCTTTCCTTTAGAACATCCACAAAACCAGGATGCATTCCCATATGCCCCACAGGCATAAACAAAATTAGAAAGCAAATGTTTCAACATGGTTGATTCAAATTCTTAAATCTTTTATTACATACTCACAGACTGTATCATTTTTCAGATCCTTGATTATTTTTGGTAGTTTATTTTTTCTATCAATAAATATTTTGTTTTGTTCCTGTTGAATTACAAAACCTTTCTTCTCATTTTATTCATTTGTCAGATTACGCTCTAAGTTTTCACACACAAATTCTCTCACTGATCAAAGGAGTTGATAGACTTCATTACACATGTCTGTAGAAGTTAACAAGGTTTTGGTTTTTGTGTGTATTTTTAAGTGAAGGTTCATGTTCAATATATAAACAGAAGATAGAAGAAACATATAAAAAATTTGTGTTTCTGCTATGGATATTTATTTGTTTTATATTAACTGTATTAAAACAAAGTTGAATGTCTCTTGAATATGTTTGTTTTCCTTTTTGGTTCAGAAATAATTTATAAGAAGTAAGGATACAAATGGATAAGGCTTGTCAAGCTTAAGTCAGTTTCACACTGAGTTGGGAAGCCCAGACCTCTAATTCATGAGTAGGAATGCTAAAACATGTCTGATGATGTTGTTAGTAAGTGGAAAAAGTTCCGTCATCAGTGGACCACAAAAACTAACATTCCCCAGTGGAAACACTATTACTGCATGATTCACATCTTGAAGCCAATAGAAGAAAGAGAAAGATTCTGTCCTTTCCAGAAGTGGGATCATAAAATCAGAGATTCCACCAGAAACCCTTTCCAGTTTCTTTATAACTTGCATCATGGAAAAATTAATTAATTTTTCTATTCATTATTATCATTTTATTAATTGGTTTTATTTCATTTTTCCCACATGTCTATGCACTCACAAAACTAAGAAAAATAGACTTATAAATAATGAATTGGATATGAATAGACAAGACACTTAATGTAATATCTTCACTTTCTTGAAAACATTATTTTTTAGTTACTTTTATTTTCTATTTTGATATTTAATTATACACGTGACTGTTAAGGGGTCCACCCCTTTTTTTATACAAGTGGACTCACCCAGTGTGTACTTGTACTGCTGCCGGTGAATACCTGGAAGTGAGAAAGTGAGAGAGTGAGAGTTTGAGGTAACCACTTTGTAGGAGTCACAGTTGCGAGCACGTAGACTCAGAAGGAAGTCATACTTCGATACTGAATTTCCCAGACTGTATATATATTATTATTGCTACTAGCCGCATTTCTGGATCTATTAACCATGTTACCAATTGTATTATTACATCAATACATTTATTTGCTATATTTCATTCCTGCGTTTGTCATTCATTTGAGACCGGATTTAATCCCGGAATCCACAACAAATTGGTGACGAGCGATTCGAAACTCACATGGGAAGAAAAAACAACAAAAAATTTTCCCTCATCGTCCACAACAAATTGGTGACGAGCGATTTGAACTCACATGGGAAGAACAAACAACAAAAAATTTTCCCTCATCGTCCACAACAAATTGGCAACAAGCGATTCAAACTCACACGGGAAGAACAAACAACAAAAAATTTTCCCTCGTCGTCCACAACAAATTGGTGATGAGCGATTCAAACTCACACGAGAAGAAGAAATAAAAAAATCCTCCACTTGTCCACAACAAATTGGTGATGAGTGATTTGAACTCACACAGGAAGAACAAACAACAAAAAATTTTTCCCTCGTCGTCCACAACAAATTGACGACAAAGAGCTACGAGAATTAAAAATACGTAAAATTGAGTTATCATGGAAGATTTTAAAAATATTTTGGTAGAACTGGTAAAATACCAAAATTATCAACAATTACAACTACAAGAAAGAATGGAAAAAAAATGGCAAAAGCAATTACTACAAATGCAGAAGGAAAATCAAGAAAGACAAATAGAGCTCCAGGAAATAATATTGAAAGTAGCAGGTAACAAGCAATTAGATATTGAAAAAGAGGCAATTTTTTCGCAAGACACAGTGTGGAATACCATAGAGATTTTCAAATATTCTCAAGATGAGGATAAAAATTTCGGAGATTACTTCAGAAGACATGAAACATCTTTAACATCAACTGTCAAAACTGGACAGAAGCAAAAAAGCTACGTCTATTGCTTAGAAAATTAGGAACTGAAGAATATACAATGTTCATGGATTATAACTTGCCAAAAAAGATGAACGAATTAACATTTGACGAAGCAGTTATATGTCTTAAAGAACTCTTCAGTCTGAAAACATCACTCTTCCATAAGAGGTGGAAATGCCATAACCTGGTAAAGGACGATAATGAGGATTATTCCACGTTTGCCGCAATCGTAAATAAATATTGCGACGACTTCAAATTAGCGGAATTAACCCTGGACAATTTCAAGTGTCTCATCTTTGTTCAAGGATTAGTTTCAACAAAAGATAGTGAAATGTGCAAAAGAATGTTTTCAAAATTACAAAATGAACCTGGACTAACACTACAACAATTATCGGAAGATTGCCAGAAATGTCTAAGTATAAAGAAAGATTCAAAGGACATTGAGGAGTCAGCTGTATCTCATATATGTAAGTTAAACAAAAGTCTACATTCTTCACCCTCCCCGGAAAGAAAACAAAAATTCTATAATAATGAAAAAAGATTCTCACCCTCCCTGGAAAAAAAAAAAAAAATTCTATAATAAGAGAAAAAGTACAACATACAGGGAAAATTATGACGAAAATCGAAGCAAATATAAGCCCCCACCCCCATCAGCATGTTATCGATGTGGAGGACGACATTGGAACAAGGATTGCCATTTTAAATATAAAAACTGTCTTGAGTGTGGAAAAATGGGCCACAAGGCATCCTGATGTAGGAACAGAAAAGATACTAGTAGAAAAAGAGCTACTAGGATGCATAACGAAGACAATAACAACATAAGGAAATATGTAGAACTTGAAATTTCAAATAAAAACATAAAATTGCAACTGGATTCGGGTTCCGACCTCACGATAATCAACCTACAGACATGGAGAAAACTTAACAGACCAACCATGTTACATACACAAAAAGTTGCAAAGTCGGTTAAAGGCAAGGGAATAAAATTGATGTTTGCTCGGAGAATAAGGTCTGTGTTTGACAAATTATTGCCAAACAAGAAAAAAAACCAGTATACACCTATTATACCCAAGAGATCATTTAAAACAGGAGAATGGGTTTACTTTAGGATGTTTAGAAACAATATGGCTTACTGGGAGCCTGGCACAATAATTAACAGATTAGGAAATGTGATGTACACAGTACAAGGCGAGAAGTTCTCACATAGAAGACATATTAACCAATTACAAAAAAGACGGGTTGAGGAGCCAAGCTCGTCACCCGCAGAAAACGACGATTCAATGGATGCAATCTCCAAAACTTTTGAGATCCAAAGACCACAGGAAGACACAGAAATTAGAAGGTCAAACAGGAAGAGAAAATTTACTGAACCTCTGATTATCAATCATAAGAGAAAAAAATACTAACTCCCCCCAAAAGGGATCTAAGGAGGGGGGTGTTAAGCGGTCCACCCCTTTTTTATACAAGTGGACTTGCCCAGTGTGTACTTGTACTGCTGCCGCTGAATACCCGGAAGTGAGAAAGTGAGAGAGTGAGAGTGTGAGGTAACCACTTTGTAGGAGTCACAGTTGCGAGCATGTAGACTCAGAAGGAAGTCATACTTCGATACTGAATTTCCCAGACTGTATATATATATTATTATTGCTACTAACCGCATTTCTGGATCTACTAACCGTATTACCAATTGTATTATTACGTTAATACATTTATTTGCTATATTTCATTCCTGCGTTTGTCATTCATTTGAGACCGGATTTCATCCTGGAATCCACAACAGTGACAAAATAACTTTAGCCATATGTTTTACAATGAACTTAAACATTGTACAATAATTTAAACTACATATGGTTATACTGCATTGCAGTTTATAAAATAAAATTTAGTAGCCTACAGTATCTAATACACTCTAAATAAAAAAAGGTAAAAAAAAAATTTATTGTACAAAATCCAAGGCATTATAAAAATGAGTACTACTTACAGATAGACACTGAAAAGTCTAGTAGTTGAATAAGAAATTGGCTTAAGTCATAAACATTTTAAAAATATATGTTAGCAATTTGGCATTCAAACTAAGAGCTCAAGGTAGAATTTGGTATAGATATAAACATTTTATCATGCACAACTAAAATTCTTTTCAGCTGATATTGCCAAAATCTATATTTATATTTTTTGTTACCCATTAACCAATATTTGAATGATTTTTTTGTTGTGTTTACACATTTTTTTGCAAGAGAATTAATGTTTTATACATTTTCTTATTTCAGGATGGTCATGAAATAACAATTGAAAACCTTTCTGATGAAATGAGAGAAGATTATCTTTTGAGTGTGAAAAAGGCTATTGGTTAGTTAAAAGACTTCTGTTCTAAAACCAGAATCCTTTCTTTTTTTAATATTTAGGAATAATGAATGTTACAAAAATATGAAAAAAGAAAAAAATCTCAAAGCAAATTTTGTTGGTAAAAACCTTATAAAAAACATTAAAAAAAGATATTTAATGGTAGCATTAAATTTTATGGATTTTATGGTTAATGGCATTTTCAATCACAGAAAATCTCTTAATGCTTCCTTTTTCTCAATGCCATTATAATCAAATTTTCTCAAATGTTATATTACAAGTTTGTTACAATTTTTTTCATTTTGCTTACACGTGTTGTTAAGCCAATGTCAGTTTTGTGATAATTTGCAAATAAAAAGGGAAAGTATTTCATTTGAAAAGATTAGCGTATATGTCACTAATTGCAAGACAGTTATGGACAAAAAGTTTTTATGTCAAATAACTAATTTATTAATTGTGAAAAAAGTTTTTCTTTGTTTCTTTAGTTGACTTTGTGTTGAAAGATCCCCGGGAAAAAGATGATAAAAAAGAAGAAAATATGTTACCTCACAGAAAAGAAATGGCATTGGTGCCAAAACCTTGGATGAAGATGTTTTTTCACAACAGAGATATAATTCACAGAATCTTGCATATCACAAATCCTGCCATGAAGCAGATTCTGGAACTCTGGCACACTTATTTTAGGTAAAAAGCTTTTATTTCTTTTCAGGTTTATGTTTTTTGAGTTTATCTAATAGCTTTCTAGCTGGAAATTGCCATTTTGAATGAAAAACTGGCAAAAAACTGTACCTGCAAAAAATAGTATGTGAAACGGATGGCTTTTCTCTTGGCACTAATTCCTCAGCAATGCTTATGGTTTTAAAAAGGTATGTTTAGAATTTTAATAACAACAAAAATATTACACACTATTTAGTTGTTAGATTGTTTAATTTTTTTAGTCACTGTTTCAGATGATATATTTTAGATTTTCCCCAGGTTTATGTTGTATTCAGTCTTTAGAATTTATTCACTATTTTTTTCTTCTTTCTTTTCATATTTTAAGTAGAATCAGTCCAAGAAAATCATATCACTGGGTAATGAGGTCTTGTCATCAGCGAAAACAAGAGAATAACTGGACAATAAAAATTAGAACTCTGTTATGAAAAATGTTAATAGTTCCCATTGCTATGAATCAATGGACAAGGTGTTATGATCTTATGTTAATATTAACATGAGAACAAAATATAGATAACATTTTATTCTCGTTGACATTTAACTTGGAAAGGGTTAAAGGTTAGCATCATGTGGTCACAGGCTGTAATCAGGTCATCTTTAAATAACCTTACATTGACCCTTGCACTCTATGGTAGGCCTTAAGTGATAAAATTAAATTTTCTGAAACTTGTTTCTTATAAGGTGTTAACATCTCTACATTCAGTTTGCATAAACTCTGATTATTTTAAAATCATCTAGATGCTGTTTCTTTCACATTACAAACACTATTGTTGTTTCCTGTCCATTATCTTGACTTCATCACATAAATAACCCTTTTTCACAATTCCTACATGTGTTCTACTAAATCAGATTTGCTTGTTCCATTCTTTATAACTTTTTCATATTATTAAATTTGATTTTTGAAAGGCAGGTTAAGAGATTCAAAATTCTTCTCCTTTAATATGATTTACTATTTTTTACTAGTATTTATAACTGTATTTATTTGTTAACTATTTTTATTCTTTCAATATCAATTGATCAATCTTTTTTTCCATGACCATTTGTAAACTGTACTTTAAGACTGATTTTATTATATAGTTTTGTTTTAGTGGGACCATTAGACTATCTTCTTCTTCTTCTTCTTCTTCTTCTTCTTCTTCTTCTTCTTCTTCTTCTCCTCCTCCTTCTATGTGATATAACCTTTCAGTACATGAGTGATCATGGATCTCCGCAACTTCCTGTTCTTTGTAGCTTTTAGTAAAGTTTGCTATCTTTTCTAATCCTGTTCTGACAACCATTTACACAAGTCTGTTACATAGGTTATTAGGTTATTCACTGCTTTCCTCCATCCCTCTTGCCTTCAATCTGTCCTGTGAGTATCAAATTCTTCAAGCCCTCTTTCCTTATTAGATGTTTTAGAAAGTTTAGCTGTCTCTTTCTGTTTCAAAGTATAAGTGTCCTTTTAGTTTCCATTTTCTCTAAAACTTCCTTGTTGCTTACATGTCCATGGCTTCTCAACTACATGAATTTAAACATGTTACTAGATTGACATCTAAGTCTCATCCTTTTACTGTTGAAATAATTAAATGCAACTGCCACTTCTACATTTTCCAAATTTTAAAAGCAACATCAATTGACATATTCTGTTATCTTGAACCCCATTCATCTTTTATCCTTTCTTCAATCCCCCCCCTATACCCAGTCTTTCCTCTCACTTTCACTCTCTTTAACCCCCCTGCATACTAGTAGCACTCCCCCCTTGCTTGGGATGAAATGATTAAAAAAATCCTTCTGTTGCTTCAAATCTCTTCTTTGAGAGGAGATTGTCCAGCATTCACTGCCATATAGGAGGACTGATATTACATAACAGTTCAGTACACTTTTCTTTGTTTCTAACAAAATTTTCCTGTTTCTTAATACTTTGCTTAGCTTGTGGAAGGCATCTTTTGTTATCCCAATTCTAATGTTGCACTTTCCATCCTCTGTTAAAACACTTCCTAGATATCTAAATTGTTGTACTTGCTTGATTTTGGTATCTCCAATTTGTAATTTGCATACTGGGCTGTTCTTTTTGCTAAAAACCACGCATCCTGTCTTGATTAGTTGATAGCCATCATTAAAGTAAACATTTTTCTATTCCTGATTGTTTTTAATCTCTAAACTTAATCTGACAAGCTAAATGGGTTGATTACTTTGACCTCCGGCTGCTTTCAGTTAAAAATTATATTATTTGTGTAAATTATGCAAAACTCTTTAGAAAATGGCACAGAATGAGAAAATATTGCATTACATCAGAAAGAAATAAAGGAACATTATTTTGATGCTTTTTGCAACCACCTGACATTGCAACCACCTATAGTTTCATGGTTGCAACTTACAATTGCTCATTACTTCTCCAAACCTTTATTCTGTCATTTTGTTACCTAATAGATTTTATCTAAATCTTGGCATCAATTTTATTCCAATAAATTTCAGGTGTGTCATTTTCCCAATGGCATTAAGACAAAGTAACAAATGCAACAATCATGATTTAAAATACAATCTAATATCTATATCTTAAAAATGTTGGTTATTTAGCATTTTCATAGATTAAATTGTATGATCATATATAAAAAAATATATATAGAATTTGAAGTTTTTATATATATATATATATATATGAGTGTATGTATCTATATATCTTATTTTCAGAGGTCTTCGATTTATAGATATCAAAGAATTTCATAACCGTAAAGATTCAATGGAAGTTGGATGTTTTCAGAATCTTTGTATGAAGCATATTGAAAGTGCCAAGAAAACTCTCATGAACCAGTAAGATTTTTATTTGAATTTTCTCTGTGTGAAGAATATCCAAATATAAAATGTTCATTTTTTGTTAAATTTTTTTAAATGTAATGGAAAATAGCCTTCATGTTAAAATATTATATATTTAAATACAATTTCTGTATAAAAATACCTAAAAATATTTGCCTATTTTTAAATATTTGTTTAAACTCTTTTTTAATTCTTGAATATTTTATGACTAATCAAACAAATATCTCAAGTGTGAAAATATGTTTTTTATTTTTCAATATTAGTAAAGTCAATATTGAAGACTTTGGTAAAATATTATACTGTATTTTATAAGAAAGAAAAGCAAGTAATGCCTTCAGTTCAGAAAAATGGAAGTAGCCTGCAGACTGCTAATGTTTGTTGAAATCAGCACATGTGAGTTAAAAGAAGAGGTGGAAAGAGAGCTTAGCTTTGAATATATATATATTTAAATCTGATTCTATGGGCCAGACTTTGTATGCAAAGTTGTTGGATTAAGTTATTCAAAATGTTTGATAGAATAAGAAGAGGAAAGGAGTGTTGATTAATTGCTTTATTAATTGATTGATTTTATGACACATCAACTCTTGAGGTCATTAAATGCCAAAATTGTTTTTGTCTTAAAGGTTAAAAGAGTAAAATGACTAGATAAAAATGTTTAGTTTTGGTACTTAAATTATTGTGTAAATTGTATATTTCAATATTTTCAATCTAGGAATTTGTATAATTTCATATAAGTAATTGTCTGAGTTGAGTTTTTTAATTTTTTTTGCTGAAATAGTTTCTGTGTTAAAAGAATAAAATAAATATAGAGAATAATATTTGGTGAATAAAATTTTTATATAAAAATTGTATAAACTATGTATTTTGATGACTTTAAATAAGAATTTGTATAGATCATACATTTCTTATAAAAAATTACATGGATTATTTTTTTGTATGTACATTCAATATATGTTTTTATATATATATATATATATATATATATATATATATATATATATATATATATATATATATATATGTGAAAATATATAGAAAATAGGAAGGAACTGGTTAGGTAAATAATCCAAAGTCCCTTAGTATTTTAGTTATTATTTTTAAAAAATAGTGCTTGATACAAAAGTAGAGCATAAATATAATTATTTATTTAAAATATGATTCCAAAACGCTACATAAGAAGTCTCATGTTTTCAAAACAAGAGCCGAAAACTTCAATATTATTATTTAAATTAAATTCAGTTAAAATAAATGGAACAGAGTTTATTTTTAAATAAATAATTATATATATATATATATATATATATATATATATATATATATATATATATTTTTGAAAATAAAAAAATTAAAAAATGAAAATCTTCAGACACACTGGTTTGTATATTAATATTCTTTCGTTTTTATTATTTCAGTTTAAATTATTTGACTAGTTTCGACCAATATGGCCATCATCAGGAGAGAAAAATTTCTGCTTGTTAGTAGAACTACAGAAATGAATGACTTGATGGAGAAAATGAACTTTTGTCTGTAGTTTTCATTTGTTTTTTTATTTTTTTAACATGAATTTTGGTCAGTCCTTGTGTTGGTCAAACAGTCTTCTTAAGTTGTTATTTAAGATAAGAGCTGGATGGATTCATGCTGCCCTGAATTCTCTGGTCATTTTGACAGTTTTATTGGTTCCTGGAAAGGGGGTCTTATCAATTGTTGTGTGTGTGTGTTATTTGGTTCTTAGGGAGTGAGTGAGTATGATGTGTGTAAGTGTGTATATTAGTATGGGTGTGTGTTATCATTTGGCTCATTAGGGAATGAGTGAGTATGATGTGTGTAAGTGTGTATGTTCGTGTGGGTGTGTGTATAAGTGTGATACCTCAACACCTCTGCAAGCATGTCTATCTTGTGTGGGTGAGAAATGTGGGTAGGTCCTGATTTGTGGGGTTATATATTAATTCTATCTATGTTGTTAAATTTGTGATTAAGCCCATCTGGGTGGAACATTTTTAGGTGCCAAATCCACTTATTTTCATGTCCTTCTAAAATCTTTCTAATGTTATCTGTTCTGAACTTTTCTATTTTCTCAATTATAGTGAATTTGGCATAGGTTTTAAAATCATGTTTTTGTAGGTGGAAATGTTGTTCTACAGGTAAAAAATTTTGATGAAATATGATTTAATTCAACTTTTATAATTATAATTCTGTAGTGAAAAGAACCATTCAGATTTTCCTACATTTCCAAAAATATAGTGTGCATTCTAGAAGGTAAATTATGTTATGACTTCTACAGTTAAGTCATGGTAGATTTTGAAAAGTAGATTTAGTGACTGAGTTAGTGAATGAATTCGTGTGTTTAATGTAGTTACAGCAAAAAAATCTATTTGTTGTTACATGGTTAAAAAAATCCTGTTTTTTTTGGTTTTTTTTTATTACAGATTACCTTGTCCCCTGAAATGTGGTAACTATCTATAATTTCCTTTAGGTTCTTGGGCCTCAAACGATATAATAGAAGGCTGGGTTCCTAAAAAAATTTAAAGGTCTGGTTTGAGATGTAAATTTCAAAGCGACTTTTTGATTATTTGGGATAGTGGAGATAAGTGGGATTTTTTTTTTTAGAAGAATGCATCTGGATTTATTTTTAATCTTGTACATTTTTTTTTTCTAGGTGTGGAAATTGCTTTATCTGTTCCCTGATTAGGTTTTTTATTTTTTTTTTTTTATGTTTGTGAATTGATGCTTGAATTTTGAGTGTGTTTATTTAGCTCTTCATTTTTGGAATAATAAAATTGAATAGGGAAGGTTCTCATTGAGGTGTTTAGGGTATAAAAAAAAAAGTGTAGATACAATGGGTGTTTTTGATTTTATTATATATAGTGTCGTTAATAGTTTTATATTTTCATCTAATAGAAATGAAAAAAAAAAAATTAAAAAAATGTTACCGAAATTGTGGAATTTTCATAGTCAAACTTAATTAAGTTGTGTACTGTGTTAATATTTCATGAAGGATTGATTTAAGTTTTTGTCAATGCCCATGTATAAAAGAATATATCTTGCATAAAATATTTTGATTTACCAATGAGGAAATAGATATATTCTCAAATTTGAAGAATATTATCATAAAAAAAAACTTGGAATGGTATTCAAATGCAAATCTCTGAATATAAAAAAATCCAAAAAAGTTGAAAGTAAAAAATAAGAATATTCATCCATGATTTTTTTATGATAACTTATTTTGGGTGGGGTATATTTTTTTTTCTTTTTAGTATTAAAATTCAAAAAAGGGCCCTTCAATGTTTTTAAATTTGAAATATAGTGATTGAATTTACATTCATAGTCACAAGAATAAATATATTTTCTGGCATTTGTTTGTATTTGATTAATTTTTTTAG